CCGTAAGCTCCCTTTAGAATTTTATAAATTTTAGATTTTACATTTCTGAGTTATGGGGTTTTATTCATTAAAAAAGGGGGGATTTTCCAGTTTTTGGACAACAACTCAAAATTGCTTTAAGCAGTTCAGATGAAACTTTGGTGAATTATTTATAGCTATTGATGTAATCTCCCTATTGATTTTCATAAATTTCAAATATGACATTGAGAAGAAATTGAACTTTATTTGTTTATAGTCTGGCAACAGATTTATTAAGTATTGCACAACAGCACAGTGTATTGCACAACAGCAAGAAATCTTTAATTGAATATAAATTCAATTCATATAACCGATTTCAAGTTCATTGACTACATTTATTCAGAAACTATAATATGTCAAATATTTAATTACAATCCAAATTCAGACCTGTATCAAGCTTGAATATTGTGTCCATTTTTGCCCCAGCTGTTCAGGGTAGTACCTCTGCGGGTGTATCCAGCTGCACTCAGCGAATCAGTTTATTTCTTAATTAAGAACTCCTTTTTATACGACCGCAAAAAAAAATTTTGTGGTCGTATATTGGTATGACGTTGGAGTCGTCGTCGTCCGAAGACACATTAGTTTTCGCACTCTAACTTTAGTTTAAGTGAATGGATCTCAATGAAATTTCAAATAAGGTTCAATACCACAAAAGGAAAGTGGGGATTGATTTTGGGGGTTATGGTACCAACAGTTAAGGAATTAGGGGCCAAAAATAAGCATTTTTGTAACTTCCAGACATAACTTGTGTGTAAGTGTATGGATCTCTCTGACATTGTACCACAAGGTTCAATATCACAAAGGGAATGCTGGGATTGATTTTTGGGGGTAATTGCCTCCAAATTTTAGGAATTGGGGGCCAAAAAGGGGCAAAAAACAAGCATTTTTCTAGTTTCATGACAATAACTTGTGTGCAAGTGTATGGATCTCTCTGACATTGTATCACAAGGTTCCATATCACAAAGGGAATGCTGGGATTGAATTTGGGGGTAATTGCCTCCAAATTTTAGGAATTAGGGGCCAAAAAGGGGAAAAAAACAAGCATTTTTCTAGTTTCATGGCAATAACTTGTGTGTAAGTGTATGGATCTTTATGAAATTGTACTACAAGGTTCCATATCACAAAGGGAAAGCTGGAATTGAGTTTGGGGGTAATTGCCCAAAAAGTTTAGGAATAAGGGGCCAAAAATAAGCATTTTTCTAGTTTCCAGACAATAACTTGTGTTCAAGTGTATGGATCTCTCTGAAATTGTACTGCAAGGTACCATACCACAAAGGGAATGCTGGGATTGATTTTGGGGGTAATTGCCTCCAAATTTTAGGAATTAGGGGCCAAAAAGGGGCAAAAAACAAGCATTTTTCTAGTTTCATGACAATAACTTGTGTGTAAGTCTATGGATCTCTCTAACATTGTATCACATGGTTCCATATCACAAAGGGAATGCTGGGATTGATTTTGGGGGTAATTGCCTCCAAATTTTAGGAATTAGGGGCCAAAAAGGGGCAAAAAACAAGCATTTTTCTAGTTTCATGGCAATAACTTGTATGTAAGTGTATGGATCTTTATGAAATTGTACTACAAGGTTCCATATCACAAAGGGAAAGCTGGGTTTGAGTTTGGGGGTAATTGCCCTAAACGTTTAGGAATTTGGGACCAAAAAGGGGCCAAAAAACAAGCATTTTTCTAGTTTCCAGACAATAACATGTGTTCAAGTGTATGGATCTCTCTGAAATTGTACTGCAAGGTACCATACCACAAAGGGAAGGCTGGGATTGAGTTTTGGGGTGATGAATCATAAGGGGTTCAAAAAATTTGGGGGGGGGATTCTTTTTCCTTTTTTTTCTTTAAAATTTTCCATTTTAAATTGGTTATTTCTGATTTATATATAAAAGCAAATAATAATGATATGGTTTGAATAGGTAAATTAAATTTTTTTAAGTATCTTAGACCACTTTCATTCTGTGTCAGAAACCTATGCTGTGTCAAATATTTAATTACAATCCAAATTCAGTGCTGAATCAAGCTTGAATGTTGTGTTCATACTTGCCCCAACTGTTCAGGGTTCGACCTCTGCGGTCGTATCAAGCTGCGCCCCAGCGGAGCATTTTATATCATTCATAAATTACTTTATGCTTGGAAATATAATTTTGCTTGGAGTTGAAAGAGTTGACATGTTGCAATGTACATTTACTCTACATAGTTCTATGGTACCAAATCAAAAGTTTATATAAAGAAAGAAGTCAAAGGTTTCCCATCATAGTTTAGTTACATACATTTTTTTTGTACCTGAGGTCGTTGAATATAGATCATTATATAAATAAGGAGATGTGTTATGATTGCCAATGAAAAAACTAAGGATTTTCTTATCCAAGGAATAGATTTCCTTAGCCGTATTTGGCACAACTTTTTGGAATTTTGGGTCCTCAATGCTCTTCAACTTTGTACTTGTTTGGCTTTGTTACTATTTTGATCTGAACGTCACTGATGAGTCTTATGTAGACGAAACACACGTCTGGCGTATTAAATTATAATCCTGGTACCTTTGATAACTAATTTGACTATAAACATAGATAAAAAAGGTACAAACTGGACATAATGCACTAGTTCATAAACAAGTGAGAACAATCGCCTTCATATAGTGCTCAGAATATGACATTCATAAAACTTATTCAATATCATTAGAGAACTAAATCTTAAATACTGAAAGCCACCTCTGATAAGTACACTGTACTATGCAAGATAATGATATAACTGGACTTAAAATACACACAACCTGTAATTAACTGCCTTTACAGCGCTTTCGTGCTTTGATTCAACAAAGATTTGACTCTCGATCTTTTTAATTCAATTTTATGGAAAAATGAGCTGAAATGCATATGATTTTTTTTGGACCTCTTGATAGATAAATGTCTATGGTTTCAGAAAAGGTACCACTCTAATGGATTGAAATTCTCCTTCGGATCAAATTCTTGGGACTTATGTGACATTTTCACCCCCCTTTTTGCAATATTTTGTATCAAATAAATGCAGATTGTTGCCATGGTTACACCAAAAAGAGATTATATTTCATAATTTTAACTATTGGAAATCAAATCTATGGAAGATGGGGTTTCCATATATATATGCACATGCATAACACAAACATTAAGCCTTATTTGTTAAAAAGCAAGGAAAAGAGGGTGGTTAAAAATTGATGTGTGTCATTTTTGTCGAGCCTGCGACTTTTGTCGCAGAAAGCTCGACATAGGGATAGTGATCTGGCGGCGCGTTAGCTAACTTCTTAAAAGCTTTATATTTTAGAAGGTTTAAGACCTGGATGCTTCATACTTTGTATATGGATGCCTCATGTTACGAAGTTTCCGTCAGTCACATGTCCAATGTCCTTGACCTCATTTTCATGGTTCAGTGACTACTTGAAAAAAAGTTAACATTTTTTGTAATGTTAAATTCTCTCTTATTATAAGTAGTAGGATAACTATATTTGGTATGTGCGTATCTTGCAAGGTCCTCATGCCCGTCAGACAGTTTTCACTTGACCTCGACCTCATTTCATGGACCAGTGAACAAGGTTAAGTTTTGGTGGTCAAGTACATATCTCAGACACTATAAGCAATAGGTCTACTATATTTGGTGTATGGAATGATTGTAAGGTGTACATGTCTAGCTGGCAGGTGTCATTTGACCTTGACCTCATTTTCATGGTTCAGTGGTCAAAGTTAAGATTTTGAGTTTTGGTCTTTTTTTCTAATACTATATGCAATAGGTCAACTATATTTGGTGTATGGAAATATTTTATGATCTATATGTCAGTCGCACAGGTTTTATTTGACCTTGACCTCATTTTCACAGTTCATTGCTCAGTGTTAAGTTTTTGTGTTTTGGTCTGTTTTTCTTAAACTATAAGCAATAGGTCAATTATATTTGTTGTATGGCTGAATTGTTAGCTGTACATGCCTGCCTGGCATGGTTCATCTGACCTTGACCTCATTTTCATGGTTCATTGGTCAATGTTTAGTTTTCTTGGTTAATGTTAAGTTTATGTGACCGTTGTAATAAAGCTTTATATTTAGGACTATCAACATAATATCAATGATTAGTAAAGAAGGCGAGACATTTCAGCGTGTGCACTCTTGTTAAGTTTTTTTCCTAACTGTGTATTACTACCTAAAGAGAAAACTAAGAAATAAGGAAAGTAGTGGATCCACAAATCAGGACAAATTAATATCAAAATCAATAAAATCAGTTCTATTTCTAAAATGACAATAAATCATAATATTTGTTATGTGACATTATTGAACCCTAATTATATAACTGTAAGACAAAGGTTGCTTTTATACTGAAGATTAAAATTTTATATTTTCAGATTCATGCGTTCAGTACCTCACTCCTATCATATTTACAATTCTATGAACTGTCAATAATTATATCTTATTACATTTTAATTGTAATGATACATAGGAATGTATTATATGATTTGCATAATTTAGGATCCTTTACAATCAATGGTTACCAGCACTTTTGGTAGTAATTTTCAGGAGTCAATTTTTGTATCGACCATGTTCGCTGGTTCACTTTTATAACCAATATAAACATTATTGGTGGCTTGAATTCATGTTACATGTATAAGACATGTTAACATTATTTACAATCAGTGGTTTTTGAAAAAAGAGAATTAAACAAATTATTAGGATTAAACACATTTTTAAGAAGTTTTAAAAACTATGTTAACAAGACAAATGTACTCATGACCTTTACATAACAGTCATTTTGCTATATTTTTTTTTAATTTGTGAGTAAGATAGTGCAGACTTTTATTTTGTTTGTGAATAAATTGTTCCAGGCTACACATTGATAAACTCTAGAAAAAATGTGTTCAAACCTATAGGAAACTTACTTGAAAGAATCAGTTTGAGTATTATATCTGTTAAATAATAAACTATTACATAATAAGTGTATAAAAGTATACTATATTTCATTTGTAGGAACAATTAATTCAGAACATGAAAACAACATTAGGTGAATTTTTCCCTGATGATCCATCACAGTCAGAAAGCTACGGCCGAATGGTCAATTCTAGACATTTCCAGTAAGTATAACTTACAGCCCGTTGTAAGGGAAATACTCTATAGCTTTGTAATGTTCTATCATATTAAACAGATTTTGACAGCTATATACAGGGTGTTTATTCACTTTGATTGCAATGGGCTGTAAACACGGCTAAACTGAGGATTTTTTAATTTGAAATAAAAAAAAAATACAATTCAGTAAAATAATATTGTTAAATACTTAAAAAATTTCTAGATAAAAAATGTTTCCTATGTCAATGTAAATATGATGTCTCTGTTGATAATATAATCAATAGGTCAAATTCACAGCAGTAATTGATAGACATAAATTTGGACACAATTTTATTGTCCAGATTAAATCTTTTGATTCACAGGGTCTGACCTTTATGAAAATTGGCTTGAAATTATCCCTTGGATTTTTTGATTTTTTTAAGCAGTTTTATAGTTTTAACGTCATTTGGCTAATAGCCAACATGGTCAAGGCTACAGCAGCAATTAATAGTAATTTTGGCAATTTTTTTTAAAAATCATTTGACATAAATTGTCAGCAGACTTTCAGTCTTCTCCACTAAATCAAAATAAAAAAAAAACAGTATTGACACAAAACACTGTTTCTTCTGTTATAAATTCATAAAGATCCTAACTCAGCTTTGGCAACTATTGAGCTTCTGTAATCTTTATCAAATTTTAAAATGAAAATTAGATTTATTGAATATTTTTCAGACGAGTAAAAAAGATGATTGACAGCAACCAAGATAGTATTGCTATTGGTGGGGATACAAATGAGAAGGACAATTATATCTCCCCGACAATATTGAAAGATGTCAAATTCACAGATTCTGCCATGAATGAAGAGGTACTAAATTTCATATACTATTGAGGTCTTAATGATATTTTGTCATGGTTTGATTTAAAATATGTTGTTGTCCAACCGTAAAGCTGACATATGTTTGTTGATTTTTTTTTTTTAAGATAAATCTACTTTATATAAAAATGAGATGCGATATGATTGCAAATGAGACAACTACCCAGAGACCAAACGAGGTAGATGTACTGTCGTAGTTTACTTTCAATTTCATTTGAATAAAAATAAATGATGTGGGGTATACCCCATGATCCTTGAAACAGCAATTGTGCAACACAAAAACACTAAATACACCTGGAGGTTATACATATATACATTGATATAGTCCCCAGCAGTAGACAGGTTTCTATACAAAATGCCAAGTTCTAAATTACCCTAGTCTAAAAACTGGTGAGTAAATTTAATCTCAATCAATGGAATTGTGAAAGGTACATAACAGAGCATACAAAGTTTATTAGAAACTTATTTTTAAAGAGGATCAGGGGTTATTTGGCAAAAATTGTAATGCATAGCTTAGGAAAAATTAAGGAACAGTTGAAAAAAGTGATAAGTGAACACTCATCCTTGCAGGTAATATCATTGTTATATTTGAGATTGTACAATTGTAATCAGTGTTCTAGCTACAAAGTTTGAACAGGGCGCAGCGCCCTTCCTTTTTTATTGATGCCCGTGCCCTTTTTGTTGACGCCCATGCCTTTTTTCTGCCATTTCTCGGGCGCCCTGCTGTTTTAATCGCGAAATGTGCTTTTTATATGACCGCAAAAAAATTTTTGTGGTCGTATATTGGTATGACGTTGGCGTCGTCGTCGTCCAGCATCCTCGTCGTCCAGCGTCCTCGTCGTCCTCATCGTCCGAAGACACATTAGTTTCCACACTCTAACTTTAGTTTAAGTGAATGGATCTCGATAAAATTTTACCATAAGGTTCAATACCACAAAAGGAAGGTGGGGATTGATTTTGGGGGTTATGGTACTAACAGTTAAGGAATTAGGGGCCAAAAAGGGTCCAAAAATAAGCATTTTTGTAACTTCCAGACATAACTTGTGTGTAAGTGTGTGGATCTCTCTGACATTGTACCACATGGTTCCATATCACAAAGGGAATGCTGGGATTGATTTTGGGGATAATTGCCTCCAAATTTTAGGAATAAGGGGCCAAAAATGGGCAAAAAACAAGCATTTTTCTAGTTTCATGACAATAACTTGTGTGTAAGTGTATGGATCTCTCTGACATTGTATCACAAGGTTCCATATCACAAAGGGAATGCTGGGATTGATTTTGGGGGTAATTTCCTCCAAATTTTAGAAATTAGGGGCCAAAAAGGGGCAAAAAAACAAGCATTTTTCTAGTTTCAGGACAATAACTTGTGTGTAAGTGTATGGATCTTTATGAAATTGTACTGCAAGGTTCCATATCACAAAGGGAAAGCTGGGTTTGAGTTTTGGGGTAATTGCCCTAAACGTTTAGGAATTTGGGGCCAAAAAGGGGCCAAAAAACAAGCATTTTTCTAGTTTCCAGACAATAACTTGTGTTCAAGTGTATGGATCTCTCTGAAATTGTACTGCAAGGTACCATACCACAAAGGGAAAGCTGGGATTGAGCTTGGGGGTGATGAAACATAAGGGGGTTCAAAAAATTGGGGGGGGGGGATTTTTTTTCCTTTTTTTTTCTTTAAAATTTTCCATTTTAAATTGGTTATTTCTGATTTATATATAAAAGCAAATAATACTGATATGATTTGAATAGGTAAATTAAAAATTTTTAAGTTCTTAGACCACTTTCATTCTGTGTCAGAAACCTATGCTGTGTCAAATATTTAATTACAATCCAAATTCAGTGCTGTATCAAGCTTGAATGTTGTGTCCATACTTGCCCCAACTGTTCAGGGTTCGACCTCTGCAGTCGTATCAAGCTGCGCCCCAGCAGAGCATTTTATTCTCGATTGAGTTTTGTCGAAATGTTCGTCGCCATTTTTCTTCCTTGTTGACAATGCATAACGCGCCACCTATAACTAATTAGCATAAAAATTTGCATAAAAAGTGTTTACCTTGACTATCGATCGATTTCGTGATTAGAATTAAACTGAGAACTTAATCAAGCCCAAATAAATTTTAAATCATTATTTCACAATGCTGACTCTAGATAGAGGCCTGAAAGATGAAACTTATAAGAATGCTAGCCAAAATAAGATTTTGATATCGTTCTTTACTATGTAAGTGGAAATTATTTTTAGAAAAAAAAGTTTATCATTTTGAAATCTTTTACGTCGCTTAACTAAACTCCACCAAATTATGTCTCATCAGTTAAAAGAAAATTACCCGAAACTATCCAAACTGAAACAGAATCTCCACGTAAAAGGCATAATAGTGGCCATCATTTAGGCTTTGATAGGAGTTGGCAAATCGGCAGAAACTGATTACAATGTGTTGATGATACCATGAAATGTTCACTTTGTGCAGAATTTAAAAAGAAAACTACTTGGGCCACAAACCTTTGTAAAACTTTACGGCTAGACAAAGTGAAGGAACACGAATTTAATTTAGAACATATAAATGCTGTCACAATAGAAATTGAAAAGGCAAATGCCTGAGTTATATAGAGTATTTTGTTTGTAATGTTATGTACATATGTATTTTATGACCTATGCTAATAAACTATGAGGCTTAAATAATTGCCCTTTTTTCAATGACATTTATGCGTAAAATTGCCCTTTTTCTGACTAGCACCCTGCCCTTTTCAAATCCTGGCTAGAACACTGTGTAATGAGTGTCATATAATACATCTCAACTCAAGACAGTTAGAATTTTAATTTTAATTTAAAGGCTTGCTGAGGTTTTCAAATATTAGAATTTTAATATTGAGAGAATAGAAATATTTTGTCACACAAGCTTAGATGGTTGAATCTATTGCTGTTGTGATTTTCAGATGATTTGTACATGAACTTTTATATTCTTTTTAAATGATCTTCAAAAATAGTGTGGTTTCTGTGAGATACATGATCAGGCATGTTTACATAATAACAGAAAAAAAGAGCAGAAAGAAAATGTTTTTCCTATGGGATTTTGACCAAAGATAAACTGAGAATAAGTGAACCTTAAATTGATTATAAAAAAATAGCCAACCTGTCTGGAAAAGTATAAATTGTCTAAGAACTGGAGGAAAATAATGAATCCTGATTGTATCATGTTTCCATGATATCAAGGCTCATGCTAGCAGGCGACTGGGGCGATAAAGTCGCTTTCCTGTCTGTCACTTCGTTTTGCCCGACCGTCAAAAGCGATATCTAGTCGCCCTGTTGTTCACAATACTCGCTTTCAGTCGCTTTTGTCATTGGCAATTTTCAATTTTTACCAAGTCGATGAAGCAGCAACTTTCCATTTAAAAGTAAAGAAATTCAAAGACATAAACAATTTATTTTATTTAGAAAAGAGGTTAAAACATTGACTTTACAGTTTGTTACATGTTATTTCATAAAGACAATTTTTTATCACTTCCGGTACTTGTTACTCGAGAGCGTACATCAAATCATTCTAACTTTCAGCAAAATAAGTTTGTTACTTCATTAGACCATGATGAAAGTTGCCTTAAGTATATGTTTAATCCATTTATTTTCCTTTCCAAATAGCTTGTCAAACATCATTTATTTTTGTAAATTTTCTTCATCCGCCATTGAAATGTTTGTACGAACTATAAGCTGGTTCTCAACTTTTCAGATCTTATATCGTAATCTTCATATTTAAGTGACACATCAGTCAAATCATGCAATTACTGCCTAGTAAATTGATGCATTGTTGATTTTCATCTCGCGCAAAAGTGACTAAAGCCCTCAAAATCCTAGCTTAAACCCTGTTCTCAACTACTACACCTTGCTGAGTGTAGCATAATACAAGCGGATTCGAGGTTTATATGAATTACGGATCGGAGTCAGGTTTCATCGGAAAAGGACCAGCTATGACGCATTCCACACGCATTAACAGACTTATGGTTAGATCTACTTGATTAATGTATATATTTCCATTTTTGAATTGCTATTTTGTGCATTTTTCCTTTGATCTTTTTTGTTGATAATTTTTCATATCATGCTACTTGCTTGAGATGGAAAATTATCGTCAGAAACTTAGGGCGCACGTGACGTTGTCAATGTAAACATGAACAACCTCATAGGCAAAATAGCGATAAACAGATTATCAATGGTCTTTCAAACTCTAGGATGTTTCTCAGCCACATCTCATCTCATGGCTGTCGCCCATCGATGAGAATGTAGCTGAGAAACACCCTCTCGTTTGATAAACTATCAGTAATCTATAAGTATATGCATTGTTTTAATTTATTAATTAAAGTTGCTTAACTCTGGGACTATTATACTACATGTAATATCAATGTATTATGTCCCAGCTTAACTTTGTTAAATTTATATATCTTTTGAATGAGAAACACTGAATTTCGTAAATATGATAAACAGAATAGTTTTTTAATTGAATTTTAATTGATATATTATACTTTCTTTTCCTTTTAGAAATAAAAAAAAAGTTATTTTTTATTAGTGATATTTAGTTGGTAGTTTCTGACAAGAGGACTAATATAATTGTACAACTAAATATGATAAACTTAAAACAACTTTGAATTTGAACTGTTACTTTTAATTGTATACTCAGGTATGAATTGAACAATATAAAATAAAATAAGATACATGTATGGCCCTTTAGATTATAGAAAAAAACAGACATTGTAGCGCCGCGAGTGAATGAGCACTTCTCTTTCAAATCTCACCACTTCTCCCAATCAGTTTTAAAAAGAGAAGTCACTTCTCCCTATGATTCTGAGGTAGTGTGAGCCCTGTGATATAGTGTCATTTATTTTATATCTAGTAGTAAATACAAGTAATTTGTATGTGTAATATAATCAGTGACAATCATGCTTTAACAGCCATCTGGGATGATATCGATATAAGTCATGGTTACAAAGGCTTTATCAAACCCCTAATCTGTAGGACGTCACATAATGGATATCAGTCATGGTTACAATGCATATGGCTATATCAATCCCCTAACATGTATTATGTGTATCAATCCTTTATAAGTCATATGATATTCTCTTTTTATTATCTTTCAGATATTTGGGCCTGTTCTACCTATTGTAACAGTAAAGGATGAAGATGCTGCTATAGAACACATTGTCAGTGGGTTAGTATCACTAAAAACTGATTGTATTGTATGTAAAGGTCAATTAAAACATTTATAAAATTGCAATATGATTATAACCAGCAACTCATATCACCAAAAATCTTATAACAAAAAGAGGAGGGGTGAGGGGCTGATCTCAACATAGGATTTTTGGTACAGGATTCTTGCAGGGTTTTAAACCCCCCCCCCCCCCATTCATATATTGAAGTTTTTGAAAAACCAACCATAGATTTATTTCCTGGTAATAATTTAACACCTATTCATATATTTCCTGTGACATTTTTGAGTAGATTAAAAAGGATTATTTAACATGTGGCAATAAAAGTTTTGGCAGGTAAAGATGGTATCACCTATTGATGTATTACTTTGGCGAAATTTGGCATTGACATATAGAAAAAGCAACCCATTCAAGCAGCAGGTCTGTGTATTCGTTTCATATAGGAAGAGTCTCTTACCCCCTGTGATTAACAATACCACATCTCACTGTAAGACAATGACATTTGATAGGGCAGTATTACCATTGGAAGATCTCATTTTCATGAAAATTATTTGGAACAGGCCTGTCAGTCATGGTCAACATGGTCAATTAATTTCAAAACTTTTGTATAGATTTAATATTAATTCATTTGGCCATTTACATAATACATTTTGAAATATTGAATTATTGAAATAACACACATAGCACATAGGTCCTTATCTGATATTAAAATAGATGTATATACAAGACATTGAAAATCTTGTTTTAATAAGATTTTTACACATATGAACTACTTACAGTAATTTCCACTGAAATTCTACCGTATAATCGAATATATAGGAAATATCTAATATGCTTTTTAAACATTTTTGTAACAAACTGATAGAAGTGGTATCTTTTTAAAATATATGATTTGTTCTCTTTAAAGTATTTTTTCTGCCTGACAGTGTATATAAAAGCTAATTGTGTAGAAGCCCATATCAGAATATTAAAAATCTCTTGAGGCATTAAGAGGCACTATATAATAATTTCAATATATTTATCAATTATGGACTTGTGGCATCAATATGTTTTGCATGCACCTGTTCTGATTATATTGACAAAGGACTAAGTCCGAGGTTCAATATAATCTTAACACTTCTATATATAATGTATTGACTGAGTAAATGTCCTTAATTTATATATTACATATGTAAATAGTGTTTTATGGAAATGGACTTCAAGGCTCCGTGTTGAAGGCCGTACTTTGACCTATAATTGTTTAATTTTATAAATTGTGACTTGGATGGAGAGTTGTCTCATTGGCACTCATACCTCATCTTCTTATATCTATTTAATGTTCTTTCTGTGTATTTTACATTGTATTTTGCAAGATTTTTAATATTGACCGTCAATGTATATATTAATAGAAACATAGCATCCATACACTTAGATACCCTTTGAATCACGTGATCGTAATAACCAATGAAAAAAGAAGAATGCTACACCATATGTAATATATTACCTTATTAGAGCTTTTAAATGCTGGTCCATATCTTTAAAAGTCTGATTACATAGTTTGAATTCATAATTATAACTGTCAAAGGAAAGAATTTTTGATTTCAAAGACTTATATCCACATTGCCTTAATAGAAATACAAAGATAAGGAGATGTGGTATTATTGCCATTTATACAACTGTCCACCTGAGACCAAATGACAACTATAGGTCACCATACAGTATTTTTACATTTATCAGAACCCACATATCATATAGTAAAAAGATATGGATGATTTCATAGGGGCAATCAAATGTCCAATAAAAACATTTATAGAAGGCTCTAGCTTAACAAAATTTGCATATAAAAACAAGTTTAGAAATGTTTTTCCACACAACATATTGAGTATAATTTGACAACTTACAAACCAGTAGATTTGTATACCATGTTTTTGCTATGAATTAATGTCATGCATTTTCCCCCTTGTTTTACTGTATTTTTTGCATTTTTACAGTGAGAAACCTCTAGCTATGTATGTATTTTCAAATGATAAGACAGTAAAGGACAAGTTTAGAAACTCTACAAGTAGTGGTGGTTTGGTTATTAATGATACCATGATGCATGCTGGAGGTCAGTGATATTTATTTTATTTATATCAAATAGTATTAAAACCAAGATTGTATCAGTGGAGGTAAGGAGAGGTCACATTGAAGTTGCTAGACATCTGTCATCCTAGGATATTTTGAAGGAAAAAAATCTCCTTGAATGTGCTTTGCCATTTTAGACCAAAAGACCTTAAGTCATCCTTAGGATGTTTAGTTTCCAAATAACACTCAATGACCCACTTTTGGCCAGTTCATACAATTAATATGGCGATGTTGAGGTGGCTGCAGGCAAGAGCCTTCAGCCAAGAGGTGGCAAAAGTGGTACATAAGTTGTTTAATTACCTCCACCCATTTCATTCAAATTTCACAGAAAGATTGTGCACATATTGAAAATGTGTACCTTCTAATATGTGAACATAGATTATTGTCATTTTTTCACAAAATTAAATTTGATCTCAACCTTTTCCTACAAAGATATTTTGAAGCAATATAGTTTTGTTATAGAAGACCAAGTTGGTAAGAATGCTGATAGATTAATCATAAACTTCACATTTTGTAATAGTAAAATTAATTGTTATTGTATATGTTTTTATATTCTGTGAAAAGCTCATTAGAGCTTATGTTTAATTTGTTTGTCAATATGCCGAATCCAACTTAAGTTTTACTTACTTACTTACTTACTTAAAACTGAAGGATAAATACAAGTTGGGAATGTAAACATTTGTGAAACTAATTATTCACCAGAAAAGTAATCATATGGCAATTAAAATTATAAAGCATTGTAGGAAGATTTTGATTTAGTCATCTTGATATTTTAGTAATGACCTTGCCATTTGGAGGTGTTGGGAACAGTGGTATGGGAGCTTATCATGGCAAGTTGACCTTTGACACTTTCAGTCATAATAGAGCTTGCCTGGAAAGAGAACTTAAAATGGAAAGTTTACAGAGGTAAGTAATTATAATATTAGTCAAATCTCAACAATTTAAATTAGACCTTACCATAGAATTTAAAATTTGAAACTGTTACATACCATGAAAAAATACATTCTTATTTTTATAAATTGTGTTTATTAGTTAGCTTAATTTTCTGCAAAGCCTTGTGTGATTTGTTATCATCTCTGTAAGCTCTGCCTTCTCCCAGCAAGGTGATCATTTTTCTGCTTCATAGTAATTACAGTTATTGTCTAAAATGGTGATGGGCTGCCATTTCAAAACCCTCTATGGTAGATGTTTTCTAACACATCAGATAAGTTCTCATCACAAAACTGTCAGAGTCAGACAACAGCTAACACAGGGGAATGGATTTTTTCTGGTATTATTGAGGATAATATTTAATAGTTTTTAAATTCAAAAAAATTAGGCAATAACAGATTTCTGTAAAGTTCATAAAATGCTTGTTATAAGACAGGTATGGTAAATGGGCATAATGTATTGAAACTTTGATTATATACAAAATCTGGTCACTGGACAAGCTGGATGCTATTTGTAATAAAAAAAAAATTTATTACCAAAATCTTTCTGGGAAGGTATATTCAACAATGCAGCTTAAATGGACATAAGCTGTTAAATTCATGTTCACCGATTTGACTCAAATTCTCATGTTTGATTTATAACATACTAAAACGTATATCTAAATTACAAAAAGGCTAAAACAAACAATTAACAATGCATGGACTCGATAGTATGTATCAACATTTCGTGTGTATTTTTGTCTAGACGTCATCTAATTAACCATCGAGATGACCTTCGAAGACTGCCGACAGTCATATAACCTGATATAAACATAAATATAGATATTGATAGATAGCGACCACGTGCAATTGGATTTTTCTAGGTCTGTTTGATTTCATATTGTAGGTTAAAAAGTATGTTTATCATCGTTTCTACCTGTATAAGAATGATTTTTTAGCTCACCTGACCCAGTGGGCCAAGTGAGCTTTTCTCATCACTTGGTGTCTGTCGTCCGTTGTCGTCCGTTAACTTTTACAAGAATCTTCTCCTCTGAAACTACTTGGCCAAATTTAACCAAACTTGGCCACAATCATTATTGGGGTATCTAGTTTTAAAAATGTGTCCGATGACCCGGCCCGCAAACCAAGATGGCCGCCATGTCAAAAAATAGAACATAGGGGTAAAATGTAGATTTTGGCATATATCTCTGAAATCAAAGCATTTAGAGCAAATCTGACAGAGTAAAATTGTTCATCAGGTCAAGATCTATCTGCCCTGAAATTTTCAGACAAATCAGACAACACGTTGGGCCCTGAATTGGTAATTTTAAGAAAATTTTGCAGTTTTTGGTTATTATCTTCAATATTATTATAGATAGAGATAAACTGTAAACAGCAATAATGTTCAGCAAAGTAAGATCTACAAATAAGTCAAACATGACCAAAATGGTCAATTGACCCCTTAAGGAGTTATTGCCCTTTATATTAAATTTTTAACAATTTTTTGTAAATTTTTGTAATCTTTTACAAAAATCTTCTCCTCTGAAACTACTGAGACAAATTTAATCAAACTTTGCCACAATCATCATAAGGCTACCTAGTTTAAAAAACTTGTCCGATGACCTTGCTTACCAACCAACATGGCGGACATGGCGGACATGGCTAAAAATAGAACATAGGGGTAAAATTCAAGTTTTGTCTATTATTTTTTGAACCGTTATAAATAGAGAAAATCTGAATGAAGCAAAAATGTTCAGCATAATGAGCTCTACCAATTTTCCATATACGTCAAAACTGTAGGACAAATTCTTGTTGGAGTTATTGCCCATAATTGACAAATTTTACCATTGTTTTCTCATTTTTGCCAACTATCATGAAAACTATGATATTTAGAGAGAAACATTTTTTTCCGTTATGCCTCGTATGATTTAAATTATGATAGATAAATAAACACTTTAAATCACAAAAATGATCAGCAAGGCAAGATCTATTAAAAAGTCAAATTTCGCCAATATTGTTAGTAGACTGTCTCTCTTCATAGGAGTGATTGCCCTTAATTGAGGATTTTTTTTTCCCTCTTTTGTGTTTTGAGCAAAAACTAAAGAAGATAAAGAGAAACTAAACAGACTAAAAGACTAAAAGATCAGTAGGACAAGATCAACAAAATACAGATTTTTGTCATGAAGTCTATTCTCGTCTACAATGTTGGAGAGTGTCCTTTGTTTGATATGCACATAGACCAAGGTGAGCGACACAGGCTCTTTAGAGCCTCTAGCATGTCTAGTTTGTGGATCAAATCAGTCGACCAAATGGTTCATCCTTGTTTCACTCTCAATGTTGACATTCTTTTCCTTTTAATAGCTGAATACATTAGTAACCCATCTCCAGCTAAGGGGTTAAATTGAAGGTCACATGAATACGGATTCAATGAGGTCGAATTATTCACTTGCAAGTGAATAATTCATCAGCAATGTTTTTCATCTTATTCTGACAACATTGAACCAAACTGACTGCTAAAAGCGAATTAGTATTTCACTATATCACTTTCATGAATGATTGAAAAAAAAAACTTCATATTTAAATTTTTTTATATCTCGTAGCTAATGGCCCTTTAAGAGAATGGAAATCAACAATTAAAAAATTATTTTTTGAATGTTCATTATCGAACGGTAAGTATAAACACATCATCTCCAGTGAAAGCATTGCTTGTTTTCAATTTTCCTTAGCTATTGCTAAGAAATACAAATACAAAATGCCTATGCCATAAACTTTTACGTTCAGAAAATAAAATGATTTGAAACAAACATAAAAAAAGTACAAAATAAATATCTTAAAAGTGATATTCTTTATAAGGTTTTTAAACTACTTCAGTAACATTCTGACATACATTGAAGGGAAGACAAATTAAAAATGTTTTACACGATAGCAGAGAATAACAAAGTTGACCTTAAATCAGCTATAACCCATTCAGTTTTTTTGGACAAGGGTGCAGTAATAGCGTTATTTATTACCCATATTGACAAAAATATTAATGTTTAGAATGTGATTTATATATTGTATAGATGTAAGCAATCCTTGGGAGTGAGAACATTAGTACATGTAGTACTAAAAATAAAAAATAAAATAACAAAAATACCAACTCCAAGGTAAATTCAAAACGGAAATACCCTTTATATGAAATGGAAAAATCAAAAGCTCAAACACATCAAACGAACGGAAAACAACTGTCATATTCCTGATTTGGTGAAGTCATTTCCTTATGTCATGTAGAAAATGCATTTTTGATACTATTTCATAAAATAAAAAATTAAATTATAAAAAAAAATTCAAATGTAGAGGAGAGATTTGGAATTTTTCACAATATTTCTAGATCAAATTCTCTCAGCACTTTCTGAACTTTGAGCTAGCCTGTATTGATGTTTTGCTTTTCAGTATACGATACCCACCTTACACAGAAAAAAACCTTAGTGTCATTGGCTGGCTGTCAAAGAAAAATCCCAAGAAAGGAGGATTCTTTTCCTTTCTGGGCTTCTAGGTAATTATTTCACCATTTAGAGCTATTGTATTGTCATTTATTTAGTATTCGATACCCTCCATATACACAGAAGAAAATGGGAAACATTCAATGGGCCACCAGGAAGAAGCTGAAGGGAAGATCATTTATGTCGTTTGTGCCATTCTTTGTTATTGGAACAATTGCTGCATATGTAATTAAGGTAACAAAGATATTTTATTGCATGACCCTGTTTATATGTGGGCAGGGTTAATAATAGCTTGTAACATGATATGCTTTAATGTATAGTAGAAGCTTGTGGAATCTTGGGAATAATCTGTTGAAGTTTACTATATGAAAATTCTGCTTGCAAATTTTCCCCTCTCTTGAATTGTTAGAATTTGAAATATCAAGGATGTTTGCTGCTGAAATTCAAAATAAGTTATATCGGGAATTTTAGCTATATTCACGGTAGATATTTATGGCAAAATCATCCTACTGGAACAAAGATTTAACTTCCAGTCCAAGGCCCAAACTGCTAACAAAACCAGACTCCAAAGTAGCCCCTTATATGGTACAACAATTTCATTTATTATATCATTTTCAAAAGATAAACTTGTATAATATTGAATATCTCAAAATTACAAAAAGAAAATGTAGGTCTGTATGCTTATTTTTGGAACAGTTTGAATTTTTGATGAACAAAAATTGTCTCTGGATTAAGTCAAGTGCATGACAAGAATTGAAAATGAAACTATTCAAAATATATACAGTCCGTGTAACGTAAAAGTTAACAAAACGAACGATGCCCGAATCATGTACGGACGATGCCCGAACGATGTACGTACGCTACCCGAACGTTGTACGAATGCAAACGAAACGCTGACCGAACGTTGCACGGACGCTGAACGAATGATGTACGAACGAAACCATGTACCATAAACCATACCCTAAACGATAACATAAGCGCCCTTTTATCGTACATTGTATGGTTTAGCGTACATCGTATGGTTTAGCGTACTTCGTTTCGTTTAGCGTATACCGTATCGTTTAGCGTACATCGTTTCGTTTAGCGTATATCGTATGGTTAAGCGTACATCGTTTCTTAGCGTGCATAGTTTCGTTTAGCGTACATATTTTTTTTAATAATTAAAATTGACAACAACACTTCAAAAGATCTGCAATTTTATTATCTATGTCTACATGTTTCGCCTGCAAGGCAGGCTTCATCAGGACAATTTTTATACAGAATTTAATCCCTGAAGTACTCAAAGTGGTGCATGAAATTTGACGTCGTCATGGTGAGAAAAACAATGAAAAGTGAAAGTAGCAATACAGAGTTATAAATAGATAAGATAAATATAGAAAATTAAAGTTTGTTTACAATGTAACTTGAGTTTGTTTTACTATTATATGATACATGAAATTGTTCTAATGGCTTGGTATCTAATTGGACGAACTTCCCATGGTTCCTACCACTTCGCAAGGCTTCTCTTCCAACCTGGCCATTGTTGGAGGTTACTACTTCCTGGCGCGTCGGCAACACATAGGAAGATTATGGTCGCCGCTATGTAAAATAAAATAAAATTAAATTAAATTCTGTATAAAAATTGTCCTGATGAAGCCTGCCTTGCAGGCGAAACATGTAGACATAGATAATAAAATTGCAGATCTTTTGAAGTGTTGTTGTCAATTTTAATTATTATTTAAGGATTGCATTCATTTGCATGATTTGACAACCCGGCATACCAAGGTATCCACTTCAGGGACTCTACCAAAACGATTTCACAGGCGTTGGTTCACCACACGGAATTTAATATTTTTTTTAAGTATAAAACTAGAATTGTGTTCTGTTAAATATTTTTATATAGGTGATAATAGGCTTAAAAATTTAGATTGGATGCATAATTCAGTTTTTAATCATTCATTAAATAAATTATAATTTATTCTGTCTCGATGTTGATCCAAAACTATTTACATAAAAAATTTGAAAAATAAACACTGAAATAGATTTAAACAAACTAAAAGATACGATTATGAATTTTGTTAGCCGTGGAAAAGGTGAATGTGCAAGTAAACTGCAGTCTGCAGGGTGTTTAGTCAACAGTTTTTAGATTATATATATATTTGTATTCATCTATCAAATCAGTCGAAAAAAACAAATATTCAAGAAATTTCAAATAGAAACAATATTCTGTTATGTGCCTCATCAACCCCAAACATAAATTACTACCAATGTACAAACGATTGTGTATTATTTTTACTACTAATGCACTTGACTTTTAACAATCATCAAAAAAGAGCGTGTCCGGCAAATGAAAAATCTAAGAACTGTAAGTGAAATTATAATTTAGCGTTTTCATTTTTTTATTTTGTAACAACAACAAAAATCTAGACCATTTCCCTCTTTTCTTTAATAATCTAAGACCATTTTCCTCTATTCTTCATTTTGCCCGTTATACTCTATTCTTATTTTATATTTTTTTCTTTATTTTCCTGTATCTATATACCTCCTTTATTCGGAGCAACCCCACCCGAAATATACATATGCTACACAGGGTCTATATGTCATCGCTTGTGCCATGATACACATGTTTGCATAACAAAGGATGTCCTTGTTTATATTCATGACATTTTAAATGTCCTCCTAATAATACATCTAATAGTTGCCACTGGACGTTAAGCAGCTAACTATAAATGCATCCGTCATATTCTTAGTTTTGTTATAATGTGTAAATCAAACAATATGATGAAACAATTGCAGATTTTCACTGCCGACATAATGGGAAATAATTGTTAAACAAAACCACTCAGGCCCTATTTTCCAATTTCTATTGTAATGTGGTTTAATGCAAAAAAAAGGTAACTCCTGAATACTGATCTGTACCCATCAAGCATTTAGGATTAATAACAAATCTATGGTAGTCTCTTTTTCTTTACTTGCAAATTATTCGACTAAATCATGTTTTATTTATGAAAATAGCTTATTGCTGGCAATTGTTAAATATTGATCCCTAGATTTTCAATTGTTTAGTTGTTGGGTTACTGTCTGATCTCGCAAACTTGACATTTTATGGTCAGTATTGTTTGCATCTAATTGCACCAATTTATCAAAAAGATAATAATGCGACACCGTACGAGAGTCGTTACTTTACATAAACTACTAGGTTTTTTTCTATAACGAAATACAAAACCACTTCTCGTAATTCGCCTTGGAGTAATTGTGCTTCTCATTTGACAAAATATGGCCTTGTCTCAAAAAAAAAAAAAAAATACAATATAATACAGAGTAATATATAAAATTGGACTAGAGTGAAGAGTTTAAACGTAGGAATTCTGAATTTTAATGGAATGTTCTAAATCTTTGTGTATTTTTTATATAAGATTGTACAGACTCAACAATTTCTTTGTTTTTGCTGTGCTGAAATGAAAGGTCACCAGCCAATAGTAGCAAAAAGGATATCGTAGATCTTTCTAATTTTGAAAATTATATTTCTCTTGCTTCAATGTGAAACGGACACCAAAAAAAAAAGAAGGTGAATACTATCCTCAACAGGATGGCCACAGCTGCATGGGGGATTGTGTTTCATATTAACAAGGTTTAAATATGCATTTGAAGAACTTCACATATTTCTCAAACGTGTATCAATGATATTAAGATTTCTATCACCACAACTAAAATAAGAAGTGCGTACTGTGAATAAATACTCAGTTTAGTATTGTTTACAGCAATTTATCACATATAATACCATGTTAACAGTTAAGGTGACGGTATTTGACAGTCTGAAGGAGACAGCATCGAGGATTTAATAAGGCAAAGCTTCTGTTGTACTCAATCTTACTAAAGTTTTCTTTATTATATTTAATAGATATGTATTCGAGATACGATAATGTAGTTTCCTTTTTTATATTACACCTGATCATCTATGATGGGATAATGTCAAATGAGAGAATTTAACCAGAGACTGAATAACGTAGAAATGACCAATTAAAGGTCACTGTACGGCCTTCAACAATGAGCAAACTCCATACAGCATGGTAAGATATACAAGGCTCCGAAAGGACAAATGTAAATTACACTCAGCGTCTTCTCAGCGATTGCAAAGTACTTTTCCTAAATTAATTAAGTTTTGAATCAGGTTACACAGTCACAATAGTATACAGTAAATAGCCTTTCATGTTAAAATACATTGTCATACAACAAATGGAAGTTTTTAACGACCTTGACTGGCTATACAGCCCTTGCACGGTCACTACAAAGTCATAATACTATGACAATGTCATTTACACTGTTCAAACATCACCGCACGTCAAACTTTGTACAACAGAAAAAAAGCTGATTGGACATTCGTGAAAATGTGTCACGCCCTCATCAATTGGCGTACATCCTATCAAGTACCATCAGAAAGCTTCAATTAAAATAATTTTACATACAAGTAATTGTGTATTTTATTTTCTAAACAAAACAAAATGTGCCGTAATCTTCAAAAATAGTTCACAAACGGTTGATAAAATGTGGAAAGTCTAAATAGAAATATAACAATTATGTCCAGTGTGCGTTTATAAAACGGGCTCTGTTTGGACATTTTGAGATACTATAAGTACTAGTTTAATGTGTATAGAATTTTAGACGTCAATACGACTTTTGATCAGTTGGATTTTCAATTTCAATATAAAAAAAAAATGTTTTGGGTTTTCTTCTTTTCTTTAAATTTATATCATGATTCTTTGGATATTTCCCATTATCTTCTGATTTTTTTTAAGATAAAAAATTTAAATTTTGTATACCAAACATTTAAAATTTTACTCTGCATTTATAAATAGCATTGAAAGTACAACATCTTATAAACGATAAACATTGATAGATGTAAATGAGCCACTCTTTCTCGTGTTGAGATGGAATATGTTCGTTATTTGATTTGATGAGTTTAACAATCGAAACCCCTGAAATATCGTCTCATGACAAACACGAAAAATGGCAAAACTGAACTTACAGCAGCGGGCGATGATTTCTAAGTATACAATATTCTTGCAATGGATTT